CCTGCCTTAGCACTTTCTTCTTTGATCTTCTTTAGTAGGTGTTCCAGGACTGTGAGGTTTCCTGCTAGTACTATGGTGTCATCTGAGGGCATATAATCTGTTAAATGTTTACTAGTTTGATTTAACTGTTTATTTCCAAATGATAGTAAGGAGCCAACAGATTAATTCATTATGGCTTATTGGAGGGAAGTGGCTCATAACCAGTTATATTTAGCTAGTTATTTCCCAGCTGAGTACAAACACCTACTGCCTCTGATACTGGAAGCATTCCACAACAAAGTCCAAGGATGCTCACAAATAAAAGAAACATCAAATAAAATTAACATCAATTGGAAGAATAAATAAGAGCCAGCATGGTGTAGAGGTTTAGAGTTGGGTTATGACTCTGGAAACCAGGGTTTTAATCCTGGTTGAGCCTCTGAAGCCCACTAGGTGATCTTGGGCAAGTAACATTTTCCCAGCCTCAGAGGATGGCAATGACAAAACCCCTCTGAAGAAACTTGCCAAGAAAACCCTATTGCCTATCCCTTTCCATTGTATCCCCTGTCTTATTTATCCCCCACATCCATAATCTTCTCACTGTCAAACTTTGGTTTGTAACCTCTTTGTGGCAGGAACTTACTTTTTTGCCTGATATTGTAAAATGCCAAGGGTATAGCTTCAACAATGAAACATACCACTTTCTGATCTAGGTTTAAAGCTCAACTCTTTCATTGGGCTGTTTGTTTTCCATTATAAACTTTCAGATCCAGAATTGTAAATAGTTAGCTATTGAACATAGACCCAGCCCAAGGCTGCTATCATATTCATGCTGTTAGATCATCTGGCTATGAAGGAGATTAATGTTGTAGGCTATGTTAAAGGGCTTTTAAAGTAATTGTGTATGGGATTAAATAAAGTAGTGATGTGCATATTTATGTAGCAAAATATCCCTGCTGAATCCACATTTATGTACACAAATTGTACACTTCATCCATGTCAGATAATATTAATTGCTTTTGTAACTGCCATATCGATTAATACGATGACATCATGGGGGTGTGGGGGTGCAGACCACACTGAGTTAAGTGAACAGGGAGAATGGTGGAGTGAAATAAGCAAGAAATGGGTGCAAGGGAAGGGTGCATTGCAAGGATGAGTGAGTTAGGCAGTTGGAGAGATATGAATTGTAGTTTGTTACGGCACAAGAGTTCTCTGAAGGTTAAATGTCTCACATAACTACAATTCCCAGAATTTCATTGCACTGATCCATGAAAGTTGAAGTGGTATCAAACTGGATTATTTCTGCATTGTGGATGCAGCCTATGTAGTCTTACTGAATAAAGACTGGTTACAGAACTGTAACTCTAGGTTATAAATCTACCACTGAGATACTGAATACCAATCACTATTATTGTTCTTTTATTTGTACTGTACTAAAAATTTACGTGTCCATTTTAAGCGGGAGCAGGAACTGAGGTTGTGCAGGGGAAGGGAACCTATGGCGACAACAAAGTGACGAGATGTTACAAAAGAAGGCAGGATCAGTGTTTAATATCTATCCCCCTTCAGCTCACTCTGTTTCCCAGAATAATT